TAGTTATAGTTATAATTTTATATTTATATAAAATAATGTGTAATTTTTTAAGGAACTGCCATAATGTTTTATATAGTGGTCACACCATTTTATAATCCTACCAAGTGTACATAAGGGTTCAGATATCTCCATATCCTTGCCAACACTTTTTATTTTCTGGTGTTTTTGTTGCTATTGTTTTTATAGCCATTCTAATAGGTATGGGCTGATATCTCACTGTGGTTTCGATTTGGTTTGGTTTTTTTGCCTTCTGATTAGTGATATTGATTGTCTTCATATGCTTGTTGGACATTTGTATATCATCTTTGGGAAAATGTCTAAGTTCTTTGCCCATTTTTATATGCTTCTCTTTTTTTTATGCTACTCCTTTTTTAGCTGTTCTTTTTTCCTTTTGTTGATTCTCCCTCTACCCTGTCTTTTTCAGTTTCTGGTTACTCTGCTTTTCCTGCTAATTCAGCATGTGCTTCTCTTTTCTCCTATACTTCTTTCTGCTGTTTTTCATTTTTCTTTCTCTGCCTGCTTTTTGAGTATCTATTCATTTTGCTTCGGTTTCTCTTTTTCAACTTCTGATAATTCTGTTGCTTTTTCTGCTGATTCCACATAGCTTCTCCTTTATCCTATGTTTCTCCTTTTTGCAGGTGTTTTTTCCTTCTGTTGACTCTACCCTATTCTTCCAACTTTTCCATGTGCTGATTTTACCTCTGCTTCTCCTTGTTCCTGTGTTTCTCCTTCCTGCAGCTATTTTACCTTCTCCTGACTTTGCCCTGTTCTGATACCCTCTTCTTTCAGCATCTGCTAATGTGGCCTCCGATTCTCCTTGTTCCTGTGCTTCTCCTTTCTGCAGCTATTTTACCTTCTGCTGACTTTGCCCTGTTCTGCTTCCCTCTTCTTTCAGCATCTGCTGATGTGGGCTCTGCTTCTTCTTTTTCCCATGTTTCTCCTTTCTGCAGCTTTTTTTTTTTTTTTTTTTTTCTGCTGACTCTTGCTTCCCCGCTTTTAGCATCTGTTATTTTGGCCTCTGCTTCTCCTTTTTCCTATGCCTCTCATTTCTGCTTCTGTTTTTGCTTTTGCTGACTCTGCCCTGCTTCCCCCTTCTTTCAGCATCTGTTCATGGTCTCTGCTTCTCCTTTTTCCTGTGCTTCTCTTTTCTGCTGCTGTTTTCCCTTTTGCTAACTCTGGCTCCACATCTGCTTCTCCCATCTTTCAGCATCTACTGATTCTGCTACTTTTTCTGATGATTTTGCCTCTGCTTCTCCTTCTTCCTATGCTTCTCCTTTCTGAAGCTGTTTTTCCTTTGTTGACTCTACTTCAACTCTGATTCCCCCCTTTTCATCATCTTCTGATTCAGGTGCTTTTTTGATGATCCTGCCTCTGCTTTTCCTTTTCCTACCTCTGCTTTTCCTTTGTTGATTCTGCTTCTCTTTCTGCTGGTGCTAATTTCCTTTCTGCTGCCAATGTTGATCCTGCTGCTTTTGCTCCTCCTTGGTCTTCTACATTTTGATGTGTTATACTATTTCTGACCTCCTCATAGCTTCACGTTTACATGGCCCTTAATGGCTATTCCATTCCTAATTACACTATGTGTTTCCACTCAGAAATGCTCCACTATCTGTTTTTCAATTTCTAATTACCCTATACACACTACCTTAAAAAGGAATGTGATATTAAAGTAATGGTACTATGTCGTAGGCAGCTGGTTAACTGATGGACTAGCTATTACACAGCCCTTAGATGCTCACTTCTAGAACAGTCACCATGGCACAGGCTGGGAAGCAGAAAAACTAGAGACTCCCATGTTACAGAATGCAGTCTAGGACTACATAGACTAGGTAATCCATAGTCCATAGAAGGGAATGTACCTGAGTGAGCAATCCTTATTATCTCTGCTGGAAGTAGATTGAGGTGTTAGTGAGCAATGAGGTAATAATGTAAAAGAAGTTACTTAATTTTGAGAACTAGATAAAAAGATGAGAGTGTGCAGAGGACAGCTAAGTAGCAATGTGGAAAATTTTTATCCAGTCAAAAAGGAAAGACTGTAGACAAGTAAAAGAATGAAATCGTGTCATTTATGGCCACCTGGAGAACTCACGTTAAGTGAAACAAACCAGCCACAAAAAGATAAATATCACATATGTGGAAGCTAAAAAAGTTGATCTCATACGCGATGGCAAAGAAAGTTGATCTTATATAGAGGTAGAGAGTATAGAATAGTGGTTACTAGAGGTTAGGGAGAGAAGGAGGATGGGGCAATAATGAGAGACTGGTTAAAGGAAACAAAATGAGGAATAAGTTCATATACAGGGAATAAGTTCTGGTGTTCTAAAGTGCTGTAGGGTGACTGTAGTTAACAATAATTGTTATTTCCAAAGAGCTGGAAAAGAGGATGTTGAATGTTTCAACATAAAGAAATGATAAATATTGGAGGTGATGGATATACTATTTATCCTGATTTATTCATTGCACATACGTATGAAAATATCACTCTATACCCCATAAATATATACAGTTATTATATATCAATGAAAAATTTAGAAAATTTTTTTAAAAAGAGAAGAACAGAGGGAGCAAGATTTTCTGGCAAATGGAGTTGAAATTAAGAGCACAGAATTGAAGGGTTGATCACCATTGAAGATGTAATATCAGATCCTTTGATGCTAGAAGGAAGGAGGGAATTGTTGGCATTTTCCACTTCCATGATGGTATGCAGGTGTTTTACTGTTATTTTTCCCTTTCTGTTATAGGTCCTGAATCTGTTCCTCCTTCTCTTCTTAAATTAGTGATGAAACCCATAGCAACTGTTGGAGAAAGCTACCAATATCCTCCTGTGAACTGGGCTGCACTTCTCTCTCCACTTATGAGGCTAAATTTTGGTAAATATCATGTGTTTTTAAGTCTTCAGACTTTGATTTTAGTATTTGACCTGAATGGAAAAACAGATTCTGTGTCACAATGTGTAGTGACTGGATAGACTTTTCAGATCTTGAAGTTTGTCATGTTGGATGGGATGGTTGGTTTACTTTCACTCAGTCATTGAGCCCCTGAGGGTGAGGAAGAAGAGGTCTAAAGACACAGGCCAGATACACCTGCCAAAATCAATGCTTGACTGAGGTTTGCACACCACTGGGAATGTGGTACAGGTTCCATTAAGCTTGGCCTTGTGGTTATCAAACTACATTTCCAGAGCCATAGGTTTCGAGAAGTACCATGTGGGATGCTGTATTAATTTTCTGTTGCTGCTGTAACAAATTACCACAGTGGCTTGAAACAATACAAATTTATTCTCTTTACAAGTCTATAGGCCAGAAGTCCAACATGTTTCTCACCAGACTAAGATCAAGGTATCAGCAGATTAGAATTTCTTTCTAGAGGTTCTAGGGGAGGATTCATTTTCTTTTCTAGCTTCTAGAAGCTGCCCACATTTTTGACTTGTGGCCCCCTTTCCCCATTTTCAAGGCAAGCAATGGAGGGCTAAGGTCTTCTCACACCATCATCTTTCTGGTTCTGTGTAGCCAGGAAAGGTTTTCCTCCTTTAAGGACTCATGTGATTAATAGGCTCACTTAAATAATCCAGGATAATCTCTCCATCTCAAGATACTTAACCTTAATCACATCTGCAAAGTTTCTTTGCCATATAAGGTAGTGTATTCACAGGTTCCAGGTATCAGGATATGGGCATTATTGGGTACCATTATTCTGCTTACTACAGTTATTTTGTGGTGAGAAGCAAACAGAGTGCACACCTCAACACCTTGAGTTCATCCACAGCAACCTATTTTATACAGAATAGAGTTACACATGCAAATATAATTTAATGTACTTTTTCCCCACCCTAACTCGAAAAATAAAAATAAAATAAGAATGAGGGGATGAAGAGCAATTTAAACAGTGTTGTAAAATTATGTGTGTTTGTGTGTGTGCCTGCCATGAGTGCTCTATCATTTATAGTAGAGTGCATATGATATGCAAAACATATGATATATAAAACAACTTGTATACTGTAATTTATGTGCAGTTTCAGAGATAAAGATAATTTTGACTATATACAATTTTTCACTTAAATGCTTTCATATAAACCTAATCTCTATGTAAGATATAATGTCACCATACTGGGTTTCCAGAGATTTCATTTGAAAAATGTGTTCCTCTGTCCCTCTCCTTCTTTTGTGTGCTATATTGAAATGTTTGTGTTTCAGTTAAGTCCTTAGAAAAAGGAAGGAAAATAAGGTGCTGACTGGAATCTTACTACTAGAAAGGCTCGATGACTAGAGAATGTGACTGTATCTTTAAGCCATTCCTTACCTTGATATATTTCTTCATGGTCTGCATATGAGATGGAGAGAAGGGAAAAACAGAGATCAAGAGATTACTAGCTAGAATATTCTCATATTTTAGATAGTGTTTGAGTGTGTAGGTTCCTCTGGATATCGTAAGAGAAATTCCCCTATCTAGTTCAAGGCTCTTGCTAGTTCCAAGACTTGGGACTGTGATGCCTTTGGATACGTTATTTTGCCTCATAATTAACAAGTCTCTTGAAATATCTCTTCTGGTTTACTGAAGTTCTGTTACCTGCAGAAGTCACATAAGCAGATGCTTTGATTTGAGATATTAAAGCCTGAAAATGAGTCAGGAAAGTAACTATCTATTCAGATTCTTTTCCTTTCTTGCCTTTCAGGTGAAGAGATTCAGCAACTGTGCCTTGAAATTATGGTGACCCAGGCACAGTCATCCCAGAATGCAGCTGCACTATTGGGCTTGTGGGTGACGCCACCACTGATCCACAGTCTGAGTGTATGTAGTAACTAAGGGTCTTGGCCAACAGGAAGATATCATTCTTTAGGAGGAGATTAACGTTCATTTGGGTGTGTGTTCTCAAAGTCAAGAGGAGACAGATGAGATCTTAACAAAAATTGAGGGTTTGATAGTAGCTGGCCTACATACTGGAAAATTATATAGTTCAGAACCCTGCCATAGCCATTACTATTCATGCTTTAGCTACCATTTATTACAAAAAGTGGAAAATGATGATCAGAGGTATTAAAGTTCATTTCTCAAGATCATATAGCTAGAAAGTTGTGGAATTATTTGTACTTATGTTTATTTGATTATATAGTATATGTAATTATTTCAGTACATATTAAGAGAAAGGAAATCCATATGTACTCGACTCATCCATGTATTATCCTTCCCTTTTCCCAGAGGAGGCAGCAATTAAACTAACCGAGCCATGATTCGGTTAGGTATCGCATCAAGGGGACCAGGGGATGTAGGTGGGAGAGTGTAGGTGGAGAGAATAAAAGATCTCTACTAGGCTGTTTAGCTTGAGCAAAGCGTTGAGAAAGAAATGACCCAGTCTGCTGTTTGTGATAGAGGGGCTAGCACCTTTCACATATAGACCAAGGACAGATAGGAATAATAGGGCAAGAGATTTTAAGATGTGAAGTTAGTAAAGATGTATAATTTTGATTAGGTTTCAAACTAGAACAGAAAAGCATATTCCATGATTCTTTAGAGGTTTACCAGTTGATATAAGTTAAATGCTGTCATCTTTTAATTGTCTCCGTAATCTGGCCTGTTCTTCTGTCCTAGGAGGCTTTAATTGTTTGAGAATAGTGCAAAGCCCTCTTATCATTTCCTCAGTCTCTTGGCCTTTGTCCCTGTTCAGCACTGTTTCTGTTTTTGTTGTTGTTGTTGTTTTTGAGACAGTTTCTTGCTCCATGGCCCAGGCTGGAATGCAGTGGCACAATCTCTGATCACTGCAGGCTCTGCCTCCTGGGTTCAAGTGATTTTTGTGCCTCAGCCTCCCAAGTAGCTGACACTATAGGTGTGTGCCACCACGCCCATCTAATTTTTGTATTTTTAGTAGAGACGGGGTTTCAACAATTTGGCAAGTCTGGTCTCGAACTGACCTCAAGTGATCTGCCCACCTCAGCCTCCCAAAGTGCTGGGATTACAGGTGTGAGCCACCACGCTAGGCCTGTTTTTGTTTTTTTAAACCTTTCCTACTCCTCCTCACTGTCTTTAATTGAAGGTGGATGCTATCAAGGTCTGCATCTTTCTGTCAGCTATTAACTTCACTCCACCTGTCTGCTCCAAGTGGCTCCCAGCTGCCTGCCACTTACTGAGCCCTTGCGGTGTACCTGGTACCTGCAAGCACTCAGTAATTACAGAAATCAGACCTAATTTCTCTACAGCCTGACAGAATAATTTTAAAATAGCTTTGTTGAGTTATAATTTATATAGCCTAAAATATGGCTGTTTTAAAGTATAAAATGTGATGAATTTGAGTACCTTTATAGGTTTTTCAATCGTCACCAAGAATATTTCCATCACCTGACAAGTTCCATTGTGCTTGTTTGTAGTCAATCCCGACTCCCAGCTTCAGACCCAAGCCACCACCAATCTGCTTTCTATCTGTAGCATTGCCTTTCTGAAACAACCTTTATTCTTATAATTTTATATAAATTATATATACATTTCATATCAATTTTAGAAATGCTTTAGAATGGAATTTTATATGATATGAATTTTTGTATGTCTGGTTTCATGTCTGAGAGATACATTTTATTATTTCCATTTTAACAGACTTATAAACTGAGGCAAATGGAGGTCAAAGCAAAGTTTGCCTAGCTAATAAATGAGAGAGCTGTATCTATCTGACTTCAAAGCCCTGTTCTATTCACTCTTTCTTCCTTTTGAATCAGACCCATTTCCAGCCTGTTGGGTTGGCCTCCAAAATTTTCCTAAATTTTACTTACCCTTTATCTTTTAGATCTGTGCTACTCTGTGCATTTGTCTTTGATTATTTGCCTTTATTGTTATCTTGGTTAATTAACAATTAAGTTTGTGAATTCATTTTCTTAAATATAAAATGATCTGAGATGGCATATTGTTTAGAATGAGGTCTTGAGAAAACTCATGCAACTACACCGATCTTTTTAGAAATTTGCAGAAAACATTGTTCTTCTGTCCCTCCCCTACTTTTGTGTGTTACCTTGAAAAAAAATAGCACACAAAAAAAGTTTTTGCCAGATTTTACTTTTTAGATCGCTTATTTTGCCAGATTTTATGTTTAGATCACTTATTTTAGACTTGCTGCCCCTTTAGTAGCATGCTTATATTCCTAAGAATTTTCGAAGCCCACTTGGTTAAAGTCTGTCGCATAACAGAGCTGTTGCTGACATGCCCTTTCTTGGCTCTCGTGAACTCTAAGGTGCCTGGGCAGTTCTACTTGCTCAGCTGGTGGTTTTACTTTGGTCATAAATGGTCCCAGCATGTCACTTCTCCTTATTACTTCCTTATTTTTCTCAGAAGAAGAAATTAATAGTATCAGATGCTCTGTTTAGTTGATTTTCAGCAGATGAGCCTTTCATCTTCTAGAGCTTTTCTTGCCAGAGAATGTGACCTTTTAAAACTGAAAAGTAACTGTCATGTACTTTCAGAAGTAGCATTTTATTCCCATCACTGAAAACATCCAAGGTTTAAGCTGAGTAGTTCACAGATGGGTTGGCAGATCCATATAAACACATGATTCACCCTGGATCAGAAGTAACTGCAGCAGCCAAAATTACATGCATTGGTGGCCCACTGGACCATGAAGCTGTGGGAAAATGAAGAGGGGAGGAAGTAACCTGAACCTTTTATCTCTCAGTCTACCCTCAAACACAGTGATGACCTACAGGTTTTGAACATTTCAAAACCAGACTTGCCTATTTACTTTCAACCTCTTCTGTTTTACTTCCAGCTGAATACCAAAAGATATCTCCTGATATCTGTACCTCTGTGGATAAAACACATCTCTGATGAACAGATCCTGGGTTTTGTTGAAAATTTAATGGTGGCAGTTTTTAAAGCAGCTTCCCCACTTGGAAATCCTGAGCTATGCCCTAGTGCCTTACAGGGTCTGAGCCAGGCCATGAAACTGCCCAGCCCTGCCCACCACCTCTGGAGTCTGCTCTCTGAAGCTACTGGGAAAATTTTTGACCTCCTGCCAAATAAGATTCGGGTGAGTAACAAAAATATTTACATTCCTGACAATTTATGTTTGGGATATTTTAAAGACTTTTTGGCAAAGTGGGGAGGTGTATGTTTTAAGAATGTGGGTGGGAAGGCTAGCAAGAAATAACCACATTCTTTACTAGGAGTGTGTTTGTTTCCAAGATCTAAATTGAGGTTGAATTTTTAGAACCAAAGTTTTGAGCAAGCTTAGAAGCAGTTTAACTAGTGCTGCACCAGGAAATTTGCTATTAGGTGTTTTTATCAAATGCCTCTTGTAGAAGACCAGAAAGCTCAGAAGTCCTTACACTTTACACCTGGAGAATCCTTGGGCATCGTTTCCCATATACTGTTTATATAAAACGATTTAGCATCAGCCCTTCCCGTTCTCCAAAAGACCTCTGAATTGTAATTTTACAAAGAGGTTAGAAATTTATTTGGGATAAAGGGATTTTGATAAGGAGAAAAAGGTATAGCCAAAAAGAAAAAAAACACACACACACACACAAAAACCCCCACAAAGTATCAGGAAATATGTCTTCAAAATGACAAAAATTGGCCAAATGTTTTGGTTTGGTTAAAATTAAAATCTCATCAGCTGCTGTTCATGGGGATAAGAAAATCTAATAATTTGTCAGAACATTTTGACCTGTTATTTTACACTGTTTGTTGACATGTTTGGCATTTTCCTTTATCAGAGAAAGGATCTAGAGCTGTATATCAGCATAGCAAAATGCCTCTTAGAAATGACAGATGATGATGCCAATCGGATCGCCCAGGTTACTAAGGTAATAACATATCTTTCTATACCTTTTTTCATTATTGAGGCAGAAATTACAATTGAAGAATTGATTTCAGTGTCCTTTTGGCTAAAGCAAGTTGTGCTTCATTTTTGTTATTGGTTAATTTTAGGAAACGATTTCATTTATATTGTTGAACCTCTTGTTCAGCCTACTGATATGGTTGGTGCTTAACAAATGTTGTATGGATGAATAACTTTTTAACCCAATTTCTCCCACTTTGTCCTTCACCTGATCCTGTCCTTTGGCGTGAAGAAGGTAGTTGATTGAAAAGCAAGCACTATTAGCCCTGACACAGGATAATTTATCTCCCACACCCATGCCCAAGTCAAATGATGAATGAGCAAAAAGTAGCATGTCTGTAAAGTTGCCAGATTTAGCAAACAAAATACAAGATACTTTGTTAAATTTGAGTTGCAGATCAATAATGAATCATTTCTTAGTACAAGTACATCCCAAATGACACACTTGCATTTGAATGGCATTTTTGCATACCAGCTAATACCAATGGTGTAGAGAACTGTGAGCTCCCTTACAGCTGGTGGACTTCGTGTCATTTACTTTACTTTATGGCAGGTTTGCCTATTCAATCATATCCTTGAATATCTATGTCATATTGCATTGGTTCTCCGAATGTGGTCTTTGCATGAGTAGCATCAGCATCGCCTTGGAAACGATTAGAAATGTGAGTTCTTGAGCCCCCTGCTAGACCTACTGAATCAGAAACTCTGGAGATGGAGCCCAGGAGTCTATGTTTTAATTGTCTCTCCAGTGATTCTGGTGTAAACTAAGGTTTGAAAACCACTGTTAAAGAATATTTGGGGCCGGGTGCGGTGGCTCATGCCTGTAATCCCAGCACTTTGGGAGGCTGAGGTGGGTGGGACCATTCTGGCCAACATGCTGAAACCCCGTCTCTACTAAAGGTACAAAAATTAGCTGGGCATAGTGGCGCACACCTGTAGTCCCAGCTACTGGGGAGGCTGAGGCAGGAGAATCGTTTGAACCCGGGAGGTGGAGGTTGCAGTGAACCGAGATCCCACCACTGCACTCCAGCCTGGAGACAGAACGAAACTCCGTCTCAAAAAAAATATATATATATTTGGAATATCAACATTTTGGAAGTTTGTTTTAAGCAAGGAGAAGCAACATAAGGAAATAGTTAAGAGGATGGACTCTGGAGCCTCATTGCTACAGTTTGAAATCCAGTTCTGCAATTTACTAGCAATGCGATCTTGGTTAAGCTTCATAAGCTCTGTGCCTCAGTTCCCTTATCTATAAAAGGCAGATAATAACACCTACGACTTAGATCTGTTTTGAGAGTTCAGTGAGTTAGTCCATGTTGAGTATTTGGAGTACTGCTTGGCTCAAGATAAGGACTCAGTATTTATTATCATAATTACTACATATATGTAACAAATTATATCCTATTATTACATGCATGTAATGTAATTGGAAATAAAGTATGTCATTTACTTCTTAGTACCTAGAGCTGAAAGTTGCTGTTACTCGCTTGAGTTTCTACCTAAAATACCATTCAGAACATTGTCACTGGAACATACTAAGTAGTGTTCTGATGTCCCCTAAAGAGGTAGTCTACTTCAGCAAGGTCAGAGTTTGTTTCTGAAAAGAATAGAGGTAAGAATAAGATAGTGGTAGAGAACACAGACTCCCGCAGTTCTGTTTCTTACTCTGCCACCTGTAGCTATGTGACCTTAATTTAAGCAAGTTGCTTAACCACTGTGCTTCAGTTTGCCCATCTGTAAAGGTGGGATGATAATAGTGATCTACTGCAGAGAATTGGTGTGAGAATTAGTAAATACAGCAGTTCTCAAATGTTTTAGTCTCAGGAACACTTTAGCTTCTTAAAAATTATTGAGGATTCCAAAGAGCTTTTAATTATAAGGGTCATATCTGTTGATATTTACCTTATTAGAAATTAAAGACTAGGAAAACTTCTAAATATTTACTTAAAAGCAATAATAAGAAAACCATTATATATTAACATGATTAATAAAAACATTTAAAGCATAAAAATTTAGTGAGAAAAGTGGCATTGTTTTACATTTTTGCAAATCTCCTTAATGTCTGGCTTAATAGAAGACAGCTGGATTCTCATGGCAGCTTCTTCATTCCATCTGTTGTGAGGTTGTTTTGGTGAAGTATGTGAAGAAATTCCAGCCTCATACAGATACGCAGGAGGAAAGGGGAAATGTGTGCTAATAGTCTTTTCACATAATTAACGGATATACTTCTTTTACATTTCACCAAAAAATTCAACAACTTGTAGTTCCTTTTTGTTAAAAATTTTTTTTAGACCGAGTCTCACTTTATCAGTCTGGCTTGAATGCAGTGGCACGATCTCAACTCACTGCAACCTTCGTCTTCCGGGTTCAAGTGATTTTCCTGCCTCAGCCTCCAGAGTAGCTGGGATTACAGGCGTCCACCACCATGCCTGACTAATTTTTATATTTTAGTAGAGACGGGATTTTACCATGTTGGCCAGACTGGTCTCGACCTCCTGACCTCAAGGTGATCCTCCCACCCTGGCCTCCCAAAGCGCTATAATTACAGGTCTGAGCCATCTTGCCCGGCCAGCAACTTGTACTTCCTTAAAGGTTAGTTGCAGTGTAAACTCTGAAACCATATCAATGAAACTTATATACTTTGTTACATTAAATTCCACTGGTCTGTTTTGTACTTTGGGTCTTTTACCCATGCAGGGTTTTGTAATAGCATACATTAGTCATTTGGAAAATATTGAATCACTGAGCTTTGAAGATCTTCCAAATGTTGACAATATAAAATAATCATACTGTTAATATCACTACCAGTCTCATCAGAAAAGCTTTTTACATATTGGGAAGCTGCCAGGCTCATAGAAGCAGAAACAAATTTTCCAAAAATCTAATTTTCTCTTGAAAGTTCAGATACTATCAGGTATTTTTCTTGAAGTGACAGGTTCACATCCTTCAGTTTCAAGAAAATAATCTGTCAAATACCCAGGTTGAATAATAGTTTTTCCATCAATTATTCTTTCAAGTAAATGGTGTTCTGTGAAAAAAGTGGCTATTTCACAGCCTAATCTTACAAGTGTTCTTCCTTGGCTTGAGACCACCATCATACTTGGGTATGCAGCACAATTCCCTTATAAGTATTTCTCAGTTTGTCCCACAGAATATTTTTAAAAATATTTATTCAAGGGCCAATGTTTAATGGAACTAATAATTATTTTTGTTTACAAGGATATTTTAAGTGAAATTGGCTTGTGAAAAAAAAATGTCAGTACAATATACAATGAATACTAGTACACTTTGGTGCTAACATAAAAATAGTTTTGACCTCACGGAACCTCTTACGCACCGTGGGGTTCCACAGAAGTTCTGTGTACCATACTTTGAAAACCACTGAATTAACACATGTTAAATGCTTGGAGTGATGCATGGCACACGGTAAGTACTGTATTTTTTAGTCATCATTTTATTATTATTTGTGTATGTTTACTAAATATCATCATGGACTAACTCCTGAACGGATTTATGGTTTTAATGAAGGAGCCAGGAGATGGCATTACAACCCTCTATTGTATGTTCATGTTAATTTAGCACACAGGCAGATGGGTCATGTGCTGTAGGAAATGAACAGAATAATGACATCCAACTCACCTTTTCTGTTTTGCCCATGCCATGAAATTCTGTAGCTACTTCAGTTAATAGTAACTAAACAATTTTTTTTTTTTTTTATAGAGCAACATAGAAAAGGCTGCCTTTGTCAAACTGTACTTAGTCTCTCAAGGACGATTCCCCCTGATGAACCTGACCGATATGCTGAGTGTTGCTGTGCAGCACCGTGAGAAAGAGGTGCTGGCCTGGATGATTCTGCACAGCTTATACCAGGCACGGATTGTGAGCCATGCCAACACGGGTGAGGACACCCTGGGGTGAATATCAGAAACAGGAATAGATCTGCCTGCTGTTCTTTTAAGTTGCGCTTGTGTTCTCAACTTAAAAATTAGTTTAGCGCTTATTGACACAGGTTAGGCCTTCTGGTGCCAAATGAGGAGTTACTTGGATAGAAATGAGCAGTTACAGCTCACAACATCCACTTTTTAGAAATAAGGATGGATTCTTTCGAGGGATTTTGTATTGTATTTGGCTCTGTAGACCCTCAAAGATACAAACAAATTAGCTGCTTCTGCCTGTTTAACTTCAGTTTCCCAAACACACAAGATGTCAATTGATTCTGCCTGATGGTTTCATGAAAATGGCTTTTGGGTAGTCATTTACCAAACAAGAGAAAACAAACAAAAAAAATTAGCTAGTTATTTTACAGAAGAACTTCTCTGGGGTAAGAATAATCAAATCCTGCCACCCTACCCACAGTAGCAAGCTTGAAACTCTGCTAATGAATCACATGATGCAATTTTTAGACCATTTTCTACGTTATGCTTTAACAATTACTGAATAAGAGAGCTCCCCCATTGCTCTATCCAGCTTGTTGGTCATATGCTTACAATTTCTGGAGACTACATTCAAGTTCTGAATGGCACCAGGCTCCTGAGGGGTAGATGTGGCTGGGACGCTTGTGTGACTCTGGACAAATTGCTTATGCTTATGTGCCTGGTTTTCCCCATCCATCTCTTGTATTATGATTTTGAAGAAAAACTGACAAGCATGATTGTAATACTCTGCAAGACTGTATCGCCTGTAATATCAGCACTTCAGGAGGCCAAGGCAGGCGGATCACCTGAGGTCAGGAGTTTAAGACCAGCCTGGCCCACATGGTAAAACCCTGTCTCTACTAAAACAACAAAAATTATCCGGGTGTGGTGGCGTGCACATGTAGTCCCAGCCACTCAGGAGGCTGAGGCAGGAGAATTGCTTGAACCCAGGAGGCAGAGGTGGCAGTGAGTCAAGATGCCACCACTGTACTCCAGCCTGGGTGACGGAGCGAGACTCCATCTTGAAAAAAAAAAAAAAAGAGAAATTTTGATTCATCATCCTCTGTGGCAGTCTGAAACAGTTTTTATGTCTGCATTAGTGCCTTTCCACTGAAAAATGAACCTATGATGAGAAACTGGACTTTTTTACTCTAAGCCAAAAGTGTATGTATCAGGAAGAAATCTAGTAGGGGTTTCAAATGAAGCATGAAGTTACATGCAATAAACTGAAATAAGTTTGATGTTGCCTTTGGTTCTAACCAGAACCAGCCGGCTCTCAAATGTAGTTCCTGTTTTTGAAACCCGTCCGTAGTAGTCTTTACTGTGCTAGGAATCCTGTTTTTAAAAAAAAAAAAAAAAATGAAAAGGGAAAAAAGTCAATATTTCTGCTAATGGAAATATAATGGCTGTATTTTGCTTTTCTTTACGTGTCTTTGGATTAGGTTTCCTCTGTGAGTTGGCATAAATTGGGAACACTTATGCAAAGGAGAACTGTAAAAACAACTAATCGTCAACAATTCAACATTGCTAGTTAGTTGGCATGCCAGATTTCTCCTAGTGTATTTAATGTGGAGAGAGAAACTCCAACAAATGCATTTTATCACTAGTGGTCAGGGAGATTTAAAGAATAAATTGGCTTTTGAAAAATCAAAGACCAAAATACCGTTATCTGATGTGAATAATGTCAAAGAACTCTCTCACAGGCAGTCACAAGTCTCGGGTATTGCAAGGGAACATGAAACTGGGTAATGGAGTCCTCACCCGGTGTTCTGCTTTGGTTATGATGGTTGTTACTGATCTGTTTTACATTTCAAAGGAAAACCATGGTCTAGTAAGAAAATACCCTTTTCATTTCAGGCGTTTTGAAGAGAATGGAGTGGCTCTTGGAACTGATGGGTTATATTAGAAATGTTGCTTACCAGTCAACATCCTTTCAGAATATGGCTCTTGATGAGGTAAAATCTAGAGGAGTAGTTTATAGCTTCCTTAAAATATAGAACTTATATTAGGTTGGTGCAAAAGTAATTGCGGTTTTTGCCATTACTTTTAATAATATAAAATATACCTAAAATATATGCTCCCAAAAGAGGAACACGTTGCTGTTTGCAGCTTTTCTTTCCCTCTTTCCTTTTATTTTAGACACACTTAATGATTCTCTGATGCCAAAAGGAAATCAGTATTCTTGCCAAGCTCTTGGAGACACCCAAGGCTGCCCTTTGAGAAATATTTTCAGCAAAATATGTTTCTTGACAGGCAGAACACAAAGGATACTCGGGAGAGAGAACCCAAGCTCCTATGTAGCTGGGATTGATCCCATAAAGCATGTGGGAATATAGGGCTCTGGCCTCCACACTGGCCCAGCATATGGCTAAAAATGCCTGCTTTGAATAGGTTCCTGGAGTGTGTGCAGATAATCTTATGTGTGCACATATGGAGGGGAGTTTTTATCACACCTGCAAAATTACCTATGACTCAAAAAAAGTGAGAACCACTAGTATTAGGTTTGCGTGAGTTTAAAAATAAAGGATTAGTAAATAAAATGAAGATAGCCCTTTCCTGCTTTCCTTCATTGTGTTGTCTTAGCTGGCAGCTGTGCATTTTGTAATAGTAGAATTTTTTTTCTGTAGGCATGCTTCGTGAGTATTCTGTTTACTATGTGAGTCAAATTTGCATAACCTGGGGTGTTTTTTGAAATTCTGCCCAGTTTTTCTGAAGAGTTGTATGTCTTGTTGAATTTTAATTTGTGAGTTTAGGAATTTTAAGAGATTAGGAAGTACTTTTTAAACTTTTTTTGAACTTGCATGATCTGTCCTCTTTCTTCTGATTTCCTAAATTTTTATTAACTTTCTCTGTTTTCTTACAAAAACCTTAAAACACTGAGAAAATACAGATAAGCAGAAAGAAGTGTAGTTTAAATCACAGTAATCGAACTACTCAGAGGTGGCTTCTGTAATCACCATTTCTATAATTGTCTAGATTAGTCTGAAATCTAAATGGATAGATCCTGGACAGGTTTTTAAAATGCTTGAAGAAGCTGGGCACAATGGTACATGTCTATAGTCCCAGCCACTTGGGAGGCCGAAGCAGGAGGATTTCTTGTGCTCAAGAGTTCAAGACCACTCTGGGCAACATAGTGAGACCCCATGTCTTAAAACACTTGCCTTAAAAAAAATGAAGACTTGCTCAAAAGTAGAATCAGAGTATACATATTTTTAAAAATTAGTTTTACCTACATAGCGATAAATATTTCTTCATTTTGTAAGCTCTTTGAAAACATTAAAACAGGAACGTTTGGATCTTGATGTGATTAGGAATTGAATAAACGATGTTTCTCCTGAAATGTTAGAGCAATAATAATGAAACTGTTGGGTCTTCTGCCTTCACATAAAGGTACCTCAAAATCTTCTAACGCCCAAAAACATCTCTTCATTAAACATGGAAACTCAGTTTAATGTTCAGTTCAGTTCCTCTTCTGGGTAGGGGTAGGGCAGGAGGGACTGGTTGGGTGAAGGGGAAGATGACATTGCCTCACGATGGGGGCTGTGTATGTGAACATGTGTTACTTTGAATTGTTAAAACATGTGACCTAACGTCATTTCTATTTTCATCATAGGCTTTGGACTTCTTCTTGCTGATATTTGCAACCGCAGTGGTTGCATGGGCCGACCACGCTGCCCCTCTCCTCCTCGGTCTCAGTGCCAGTTGGTTGCCATGGCATCAGGAGAATGGCCCGGCTGGGCCAGTACCAAGCTTCCTTGGCAGGAGTCCAATGCACAGGGTCACTCTGCAGGAAGTTCTCACTCTGCTTCCCAATAGCATGGCTCTGCTGCTGCAGAAAGAGCCATGGAAGGAACAGACCCAGAAGGTGAGGCTGGCAGCCAGCTGCTTAGCAGGGCAGGCAGCCATTGTCTCTTCAGCAGTTTCTACTGTAGAATTGAGGTGGGAGTTAAGTACATCTTGAATCACACCACAGGCTTTCCTACTCAGTCCCAAATCTCAGCCAGATGCAGAGTCTCAGAGTTTGAGGCTAGCCCAGGCTCGGGACAACTGCTGATTAAAAACAACAGTAAGGTGGCAACTTGCTTATAGCTGGGGGTGAGGTGGAGGAAAAGCCCATACTTTCGTTCATTTATTGAAGGCACGTGTTTTCTTGATCCTGGAGAGGAAAGGGTGAGTATGTCTCAGAGCTCAGAATCTCAAGGTGAGGGTAGACAGGAAGGCAAATTCAGAATTGCAAAGGGTGTGATAAGTAAGATACGGTAGTGATGAGCAAGGGAGGGAGTTGATCAACAATGCCTGGGTAGGTCAGGAAGTTTTCTGCCAGGAAATGTGGGTCGGGAGCATCCATCTTCTTGTAGCATCTTTAAGGTTCCCTGTAGCTTATTCCCTTGCACAGATATGCTCCAGGTACCCAATGTGCCCTGGTCTGTGCTAGATGCCAAACAGAGCTTTGTAAAGGTCTAATAGTGTCATCCTTGCCCTCAGGAAAACCCAAATTGTTTAGTTTGCTGTTCAGTCTAGTTCCTCTTCTGGAGTAGGGGTGGGGCAGGAGAAGGAGTTGGGTGAAGGGGAAGATGACATTGTGTCATGTTGGGGCCTTTGTATGTGAACATGTGTTACTTTGAGTTGTTAAAACATATGACCCAAAAGGAAACATTTTTTGGTTTTTAATATTGAGGTTCCCCAGGCTACTAGCTGTTCTGCAAAGCATGTGGTAATACTGTATTACTGTACTTCTCATTATATGTTTCTGACCTGTCCTTAATACAGTTGGTTGGAAGATTGTTTTTTGAATCTCATTTAATCAAAACTGGCTTTTTATGAAGTTGAAAGCTTAAAACTAACTTTTTGTTGCTTATTCTTGAAATCTGAACATTAATCTTTAAAAGCATTTCTGAACTGTAGACCCACAGTTTAGCTATGCACAACTCCACCAAGTGTCTCAACTAAAATGCCTCTTGTTTTTCTTAAACCTAATAAGCATTAGTATTGCTGCCCCAAATTTTGTGCTTTGTGTCCCATTTAAAATCAAATTTTGGCTGAGCACAGTGGCTCACACCTGGAATCCCAGCAGTTTGGGAGGCTGAGGCAGGCCGATCACCTGAGGTCAGGAGTTTGAGACCAACCTGGCCAACATGGTGAAACCCTGTCTCTACTAAAAATACAAAAATTAGATGAGTGTGGTGGCCTGTAATCCCAGCTACACAGGAGACTGAGGCAGGAGAATCGCTTGAATGAGGGAGGCAGAGGTTGCAGTGAGTCGAGATCCCTCCATTGCTGTCCAGCCTGGCTGACAGATGGAGACTCTGTCTCAAAAAAAAAAAATTTAAATGTGGTCTTCCCTTAAATTATTTCTGGACTGGGATACCACGTTTCCTTTGGACTACAATGTAGACCTCTTGCATTGATTATACATTTGTAGTGCTTGATTTTTTTGCTTACCAATAGGATATTATAGCACAAAACTGAGAAAAAGAAAATCAACAAAGAGAAAAAATTTGAATAAAGCAGGGAATTAGGAATATTTTCTTTTTCTCCCTATTTTACTCTTTCTTCAACCTAGCTTCTATATGTGAAACTAAAATGCCTATTACCTATCACCAGTATATGTGTTTCTAATGAACCAAGATTGGCAGCATTCAGTCATTGATAAAAGTACCCTGTATCCAATTCAAAAACAATTCTGGCTGCATCCTGAGAGATCAAACTCATAAATACTATGAGTGTCTACCTCATTTGCAGGATTTATTCATGGTTAACATGCTTGGCTCTTCCCAGTGAATTATTTTATGCCATTTCTCTTGCATTTCAACTTTCTGTTTCATATCCATTTGGGCACAACTGTCCTCATCTACAGAAACATATTTTATTTCAGAAACGGGGGCTTATATCTGATGTGTTTTCCATTTACTGCCCAGCGTAGGAGCCTAGACCAAGCTGCACACAGAACCAGGTGGGAGGCAGTATGATGCAAAGAAAGAGCATAGGGCTCTGAAGCCAAGTGTACTTGGGTTCAAATCTTAACTCGGCTATACATTGAGAGTGGACTTCGGAAAGGTTTTTAATCTCTCTGGGCCCATCAGAGTGATAAGAGATAATGTTCCTGGCACACAGGAGGCCCTCTGGGCCTATGTTTACCGCCCTCTTAAAACCTGTATCAGCAACTGGGCGTGGTGGTTCACACCTGTAATCACAGCACTTTGGGAGGCCAAGGCAGGCAGATCACAAGGTCAAGAGATTGAGACCATCCTGGCCAACATGGTGAAACCCTGTCTCTACTAAGAAAAAACTACAAAAATTAGCTGGGTGTGGTGGCATGCGCCTGTAGTCCCAGCTGCTCGGGAGGCTGAGGCAGGAGAATCACTTGAACCTAGGAGGCAGAGGTTGCAGTGAGCCGAGATTGTGCCACTGCACTCCAGCCTGACAACAGAGCAAGACTCAATCTCAAAAAAAAAAAAAAAAAAATTCCTGTATCAGCTCTCAAGGTATTCAGCAGGGATGTAGGTTTGACTTTGCCAGGTCATTTAACTAAATGGGAGCTGTGTCCAACTTTACCATATCTTATGCTTGGTTCCTGTCTCATCTGCTCCAGCTGGGGAAGGTATTGCCTAAGAACTGTAATCCCAGCTACTGGGGAGGCTGAGGCAGGAGAATTGCCTCATCTATGTAGGTCCAAGGGACTAACTGTTCTTTTGCTAATGGTAGGATTCTCTTCTTTGACTATTCTTCATTTTTACCCTAGTTCATTGACTGGCTATTCAGCATCATGGAAAGCCCTAAAGAAGCCCTCTCAGCAAAGTCCAGGGATCTTTTGAAAGGTATTACTTCCATGTTTTATGCTCAACATAGGGGAAAAACCATTATTGTTGTCTGCGGAGCAGAATGACATTCTAGTGGTTGCAGGTTGAGTATCTCTTATCCAAAATGCTTGGGACCAGAAGTGTTTTGGATTTTGGATGTTTTTGGATTTGGGTATATGTGAACGTATATAAGGAGAAGCTTTGGGGATGGAACCCAAGTCTAAACACAAAGTTTATTTATGTTTCATACATACCTTACATACATGGCTGCAAGGTAATTTTATGTAATATTTTTAGTAATTTTGTACATGAATCAAGGTACTTGGTGTTAAGTACTTATGTGTGGAATTTTAACACAAGTGCTTGTGTTGTCATATTGAGGCTCAAAAAGTTTCAGATTTTGGAGGATTTTGGATTTTTAGATTAGGGATGCTCAACCTATATTGCTTTCTGAATGGACTAATCTGGAGCTGTTTAGTGTGGCATTTTGAACCAGAAAGTAGACTTAAAAAGAATGCCAGTCCCTTTAAATTTAGCATTTATTTAAATTGTTTTAAAATGTTTTATTGTAATAGTTAAATATTATTTTAATTAAAATTCATAAAATTCAGAAAACTAAAAAGCAGCAAAGAGAAATCCAGAGTCCCATTGCCCAATGACAATTTTTATATTTTCCATAAGAAGTCTTTTCTCCCTTTTGTGTTGTCTTACATATTTATAATCATATAAAATTGAAAATACACATAACTCAAATACTGCCTTTTTAATTTTAACATTCTTTTTCAAACATTTAACCCTGTTCTTATACTGGCTTTATAAGTAGTGTTTTTAATGAGCTTCACAGTATCTTGCCAGGGAAACTAGACACTTCTCTTACTTTCCGGCATTTAGATGATTACTGTATCTTTTGTACTTCTCTATCGACTTTGTTAACTATGATTGTAGGATCCACAAACATGGAAGATCTTTCTGTAAAACTTATGTAGATTATTTTACTCAGATCTGAGAAGTCATTTGGGCATTGGCTGTATGGAATACAATAGCTCGTTCTTGTCCTTCATGTCTGGTGACCTGGGGGTCTGGAGCCTACCAGCGGCTGCCACTGATCTGATGTCTCTGACATGCTGTGAGATACTACACTGAAACTTTCACCTTCAGAAAGTTGCCTGTTGGCCTATTCTGGAATAATTTATCTGGTCAGCCTGGAGTCAGAGTATGATCCATATTTTACCTATTACTATGGTATAGTTTATTGTTTGCCAAACAAGTAAGAATTCATTGATTCTAACCTGTCTCCTCATAGTGGTGGGAGGCATGTGTGTGCTACAACAGTGCTCCCACATGATTCTGATAAACCACAGAACTTCACTGAAAATCAGGGCTATGGTCTGACATGTTTTCACATTATCCATCCCTAGAGACTTGCTGCTAGGGCTTACTCTGTTTGCCCCTGGGAGTTTGTGCTCATTTTTAATGGCCATAATAACGTTGGTTGCTCCAAAGATATACTCTCTTAGGTCACAAAGGTAACAACTCGTACAGATGAGGAAAGCAGTCATTTGGGCCAAGGAAGCTCATATTCACTTGATTATATAGTAGGCTTATTAGATTCACATACAATAATTGTGTAACTCTGGCTTACCTACATTCCTTCATATTATTATATTTCAAATAAAATCTCAATACATTTGTATTAATATTCTAAAATAAAATATATAAAAAAATTACTTAAAGGAAGTACACAGAACTTCCTATTTTAAATTGATCCCTGAGGGACCTGTGACAGATCAGAAATAGTTTGGACTTGGGGATACATGTTCAGATATACTTTAGTATGGTCATACTTGCTCCATTGAGTACATGAACCTAACTTTATTATAGGGTCAGGTTATTCATTGTTGTTTTTTAGCGTTAAGTAAATATTTAATGGAAATACCATATTCAAGTAGAAAAGAGCACAAATTGTAAGTAGATTTTTACAAAGGGAACACAGCCATGTAATCAGCACCCTCATCAAGAAAAAAAAAAAAAACATCACCAGCATCCCAGAAGTCAGCTTTCATTTTAATTCTGCAAAATTTCCCATTAACTGATTACAGGATAACTAAAAAATAAAAAATAAACTTTACCCCCAATATTTATAAATGGTTTTTTGCCATTAAAATTCTGCCAAAATCTTGATGGGACTCCCTAGCCTTGAACATTAGCCAAGTGAGAAAAAGACAAATTCTGTTCTGACACCTTTTTTGATCAAAATGACCTTTTCAAATGCAGCTATACCTATATTTTGTCCCCTTAGCCACCCTGCTGTCCTTGAGAGTTCTCCCAGAGTTTAAGAAGAAAGCTGTATGGACCAGAGCATATGGTTGGTGAACAGTTTTACAGTAACCAGCAGCATTCTCAGCTGGATGAGGAAAACTATATAAGTGGAAGAAGTTTTTCAGAATTCATGCCTGGGATTGCTGAGACATGATGCAGAGAGTTCAAGGTCATGAAAAGGTGGCCACATCACTGACAGCTTGACACATGTCTCCTAAGAGAGGAGTGCATTGCTTTAGTACCTGGGCCAGTTGAGACTGAAACAGGAACTTGGATTTTCTTTATTTGGCTAGAGTTCAATGTGGAGATTTTCTCTGTGAAAACTTGAATAGATTATCTTCTCCCTGCTAAATTCCAGTAAAATAATCTTGTCAATTTTGTGCGTGTGACTTTTGTTTTAAGGCATGGGGGAAGGTGCCGGCACCACTTGGTGACAATGGCATTATGATCTATTTTCCATGAATCTCCATGAGGATATTCATTGATTCAATGAGTCAAACAAATTTCCTTATTGATAAAACACTCTCTTGGAACTGCTATACACATTTAAATAATAAGTATAACATTGAATATTAGCTAAATCAGATTCATTAATGGTGTCTATAATTTCCTTATGCTTTGTTCTCTTGAATGCAAGTGAAAGTTGCGATTCCAAATAGCTTTAGCCAAAGATTAGTTCACAAACTAAGAAATTTAAGAGTAGATCCCATCTGACACAGCTGCATCCAGTGAATCCAGTGATGCCATCAGGCTTTGTTCCTCTCAGGATCATTCCTTGTAGCTGGCAAGATGTCTGCCAGTGGCCTCAAAGGGAAAGAAAGGTGTCTGCCCACATACAGCAGAAGCAACATGAGGAGGACTCTGGTTCAGACTGGATCCCTATACCCAGGGAGGTAGGTCACATGTGAGTCTCTGAGCAAGTATCTGGGCCCAGGGAGGTGGGGAATTCTAACTGTCCAGGCCTGGGTCATATGTCCACTCCTAAGTCTCTGGATAGAGAGGGGCCAAGGCAGACCCGCCCAAACCACCTGAACTGGGGTTCCTCCAGAAGAAAGATGATGGGGTGCTGGACTGGCAAAAAAATGACAGATATCTCCCCTGAAGATCAATTTTTTTAAATAAGTACAAATCTCTGTCTTAATCAGGGTGAGGAGTGGACTAATGTAAATGAAAGTTTGTGACAATATTCTCAAGGGTTGCATTTTATTCAATGGCTTGAGACTCAACCAGCATTTAAATTTTGGTCTGTTTGCTAATTACTCTTCTCACAGCCAGTATCAGGGCTCTGCGTTTAGCCAATCATATAAACGTACTGATGCATATATGGGATCATTGGAAGAAAAATTATGCCACTGAAATAATGTACCTTTGTGTCTGTCATGCCATAGCACAGTGCTGGGTGCTGCTCAACCACCATGGAGCTTCTAGCATTCCCCTGTGGCCTGTACCTTCATGTTGTCACCAATGTACTTGCCACTTAGGTTTAAAATAGCTTTACTAGTTTTGTTTTCCAAATATATTACTTCCTTAGAGGTTGGGCTAGAGGAAAATGAATTTGAAGGAAGCCAAGAAGATAGAAAATTTGCTCTAGAAACCAGCTTCCCTCTCCTTCCCATCCATATATACTTGCTTGTATTTCCTACTGATGAGAGGTTGAAATTCATCTAACATTCACTGCTAGGTGTCAGAAAACAGTTATAGAATATACACAAAAGGAAATGAGAAAGGTATTTAAAAGCTTCACTACAAAAAAATAAGCACAATAGATGACAGTCATGCAGGAAACAAGGGACAAAACACCTATAAAGCAGATAGAAAACAAATATCAAAATGACAGAACAGTTGAGCTTTCAGTTGTATTATATTATTTAACTCTTGCAACAGTATCACAATGAGGCATTTTCTATTTTAAAATGGTGCAAACACAACTAGTAAGTGGCAGAGAACCCAGTGCTCTTTCTATGCACGAGGCTCATCAGCTTCCCCTTTAAGATGAAAACTCCCACAGAGGATGAAACCTTATTCATCCTTAATGTAGATTGCTATAATCAAATAAAGAAACAACTCTGCCTCATATCCGTAGACCTCTGGAATTGAGAATTTTAGGTCTGTAGTGTAAATGAGTAGGTCTTCATGGGTTGAAGAACTTCAGATTCCTGGGCCAGCTTGCAACGTGAATGGCAAACAGGAGTAGTGAAGAGGAAGTGAGCACTGAAGAACGACTCTTTTTTGAGTCAGCAGCCAGAGACTGCCAATGCCCAAGCAAAGGGGTGAAGAATCAGCCTAGTCTTCTAACCCCAAACTGCCCTTTTCAGTTCAGCCCAGTTTCTTCTCATTCAAACCTTTTCCCTGCTTCTGCCCTTGACAAGGAAACAGAAGAGTACAAAAGGGAGGAAATAAGATGTTTATTCTTTTTTCCGCAGCTCCTTCTTTTTATTTTGAGCAGCATTGAGTATAAGATTTATAGTATTTTCTTATTCATGGGAACCTCTAAAGATTCTAAATTAAAAACTCCAAAGGTTCTTGCATCTAAACATTCTAAGATATAGATCACCAGAATAATAAGACCTTTTCTCTTGCTATCTGTATGACCTCAGGTGAGAATTAAATTATGACCTTAGGATTTTTCAGTTTATTCTCCAGAAACCAGAAGTCCCTGCATTTTTAGGCCAGATGTTCCTAACTTTATGGAAAGTTTCCTTACAAGTCATCTTCTGTTAGTTTTTAAAAACGTAAGTGGCCAAGACAAATAGCATGCTGAGATATACTAACAAATTAATGTGTGGGGTTTGAGCCCTGATAGGTTTCTCAGAACTATCTAAACACTCTGACTCTTGATTTGAAAAGTATACATTTGGAACAGATGTTGGGATCCATGCAAGTGCCTAAAATCCTCTTTGTGTTTTATTTGTAATGTAATGGCTCCATGGTAACCAAAAGGCTGTTAATAATCTTTTTTGAAGTTAATCGTAAGACATTAATGTCTCCAAAATGATTTTAACCAGAGATAGTGGTACTGTAATTATATAAGGAGTCAGATTTAAGGATTCAGTTACTATCTTGAAGTAACTTAGTAACGTTGAAAGCAAGCAGCAGTTTTAGAGGTTTAGCAAACACTTTAGTAAATTGCTGTTTTAGAAGAGAAATCAGATCATTTGGTAAAGAGATGGAGCCTTCATTAAAGCCCGAGGGTAGGTCCCTGTTTGGTCAGTTTGTACTTCTGACCCAACCAGCCTATTCATAGGAACCACTTCAAATGGAACTATGGGACAGAGTGTGGCTGGAACCATTCACATTCTTCATCACTTTTGTGGAAAGACACCCAACAGCATCATCTTCGTTTATGAATGTGTGTCATCACTGCTGTGGTCCTGGACGAGGTAACATGCTTTTATGTTTTCTGCGGGAAATACTTTACTGTGATCCTGGAAACTGTAAAATCTCATCTTAAATGTATGATATATATATAGTATTTATAAAGTTGTGTGTTATGTATTTAATCTGTTAATCTTCATAAATACTAAAAACTTCTTTAAAACTACAACTTAGCTCACCTGATTCTTGTCAAACATAGGGAGCTTGTAAGATCATTTCCAGATAAATTATTAAATATGAAACTGAATAAAAATGATTATTCACTGAGGTTTGGTTTTATTTTTTGGATGAAATGATCTACCTCAGAAAGTAGCTGTGAGGGTTAAAATAAATAATACAAAAATATGGTTTATAAATTATAAAATGTTATTGAAATGTAATCACTTTTGTGTTTCACTGCAAATAAATAGCTGTAATGCTTGAACACATTCTTGACATATGTGGGGACTTGGGAAGACAATGGAAGTGTATTAAGAAATTGTTCTTAACGATCAAAACATTCTAGAAGTAGCATGTTAAGATACTTATATAAGTTGAAAGAAAACCAAAACCAAAACTTATTAGTCTTCTAAATATAAGGTACCCTTTGAGATACAATTGAAATTCATTACCTAATTAAGCTGATAGATTTCTTGAAATATATTTCTAGATGCAGGGGTGGTTTTCTTTAAAGAGAGAGTTGCACACACAATTATAGGCATCTATTATGTGCCACTATACAAGTTTCTGGGGTACAATCTGAACCAAACGTGTTATCCCTGCTCTCATGGAACTTACGGTCAGAGAATATAAATCACCAAACCATCATGAAGTAAGAACAGAACATGTTATAAATGTCCTACTTCTGCAAAGCCCTTTATAATTTGCAAAAGTTTAATTTACCATATGTCATTTGGTCTTCATAATAACTTTAAACAGTTAAGGAAACTGGAACTCAGAGTCATTCAGTTAGTAAATACTGGAGCTTGATCTCAAATCAAACCTAGTGCTCTTAATTCCAGACCACATTATCTTTCACAAGACCCCATCACTCAGCTGAATACCATGAAGTAACAGTGGACACCTACATTTATGTGATGAAGTAAGGCATGTTTTTACTAATTGACTTTCATATGGAATTAACTAACCTTATTTTAGATGAGATTTAAAACTCCAGCTACCCTTAGCAAAAATAAACTAGTTAGTAATTCTTATTTGGCATGTTAAAAACATGTTCAGAACTACTATTTAAGGATTTTTAAAGCCATAAAAATTCATCTCTGTTGTGAAAACATTGGTGGCTTTTATATAAGTAGTTCTTATTAGCAGTTTTCTCTCTGTCCAAAGCTGAAATAATTTAGACTCAAAAGTAGTGGTTTTCAAACTTTTCTCTGCATGAGGCTCATTTGAGGAGTCTATCAAAAGGTAGGATCCTGAGCTTATTCCCAGAGCTTCTGATTCAACTATCTTTAGTGGAGACCTGGAATCTGCATTCTAAACAGGTGACCTTGTTAATTGTGGCTGTTGCTCCTTGAACATATAATCTGAACACTACCCTGGTGAAACATGTCATATCAACATTAGCATATATATAACTCAGACCGAGAAGAATATTAAAATTATCTGAACCAATGGGAAACATTATAATTATTACAAAGCAATAATAAATAAGTGGAAGATAGATACTGGGTAAAGGGAGATAATTTTTAGCATATTTTAAACTTAATTTTAAATCACTTTAACACTTTAGTATCATGAAATGTTTTCTCCATATATAAACTTAAATAATTGTAAGATTCTTTCTTTGGGGAAATATTTTGGACATTGAAATTATATCTATTTGTACTTCTGAAATAAATACGGATTCTCACATTTGACAACTTGCTCAAGGCGGGCAAAGTAAGGAATAGTTTAAAAAAAGAAAAACATTAACTTAGGGACCTTAGTGAGATGTAGCTACCATATTATTAGATTGAAATGTCTCGTTTTCAGCAAAAAAATAAAAATAAAAATAAAAATAACAAGGCATGCAAATAAACAGGAAAGTATGCTCCTTTCAAATGAAAACAAAACAAAAACTATCTCTGAAAAAGACTTGATGGTGGATCCGCTAAAGGCTGTACAACAACTGCCTTAAGGATGTTTTTTAAAGAACCAAAGAGCATGTGGAAAAAGTCAAAAAAAAAAAAAAAACAATGGATGAACAAAATGGTAGTATCAATACAGAGAATATCTAAGACGATACAAAAAAATTCAGGAGCTGGAAAGTAAGATAATTGAAATGAAAAACTCACTAGAGGTATTCAAAGGCAGATTTGAGCAGCAGAAGAATCAGTATACATGTAAATAGGACAGTGGAAATTATTAGAGTCTGAGCAACAGAAAAAAAATTGGAAAGAAGTGAACAGCGTATAAGGATCTGTGGGACCCATCAAGCAGACCAACGTACACATTGTGAGGATCCCAGAAGGAAAAGAGAGAAAGAAAGGGGCAGAGAGAATATTTGAAGAACAGCCAGATAATGACCAACAAACTCCAAGTAGAATGAATTCAAAGAGATCCACACAACTATCAAAAGCCAAAGACAAAGAGAGAATCTTTAAAATAGCATGAAAAAATCAATTCATCACATATAAGTGTGATGAATATCAGATTTCTCATCAGAAACTTTGGAGGCCAGAATGCAGTGAGCTCCATATATTCAAAGTGTTAGGAAAAAAATATATCATCAACCACATTTCCTGTATTTGGCAAAACTGTTCTTCAGACATGAGAGAGAAATTAAGACATCCCCAGATAAACAAAAGCTGATAAGAGTATGTTACCACTAGACCTGCCCCTGCCAGAAATGCTAATAGGGGTCCTGCAGGCTGAAATGGAAAGACACTAAACAAAAACTCAAAGCCACATGAAGAAATAAAGATCTCAGTAAAGAAAAATAATGGGCAATTAGAAAATCTACTACTTTTTGTTTTCTACATAGAGACTGTTGCATTTTTAAAAATTGATTTTGGACACACAGTGTATATAATTTTGTGAAACTTAAAGAAGTGATTGACAGAGATATAAAGAGCAGAATTTTTGTATATTTTTGAAGTTCAGCTGGCATAAGTCCAAATTACCTTCAGGATATTAAATGTCACCCTATGGCAACCACAAAGAAAACAGCTACAGAATATACACAAAAGAACTGAGAAAGATACTTAAATGCTTCACTATAAAAAAGTAAACTACACACAAAAGATGACAGTAATGCAGGAAATGAGGGACAAAGAAGCTAAGCTATGTAGAAAACAAACAGCAAAATGACAGGAGTAATTTCCTCCTTATCAGTCAGCTTCAAAAAGGAGGAAAATTCTGACATATACAAAATGGATGAAACTTGAGGACATTATGCTAAGTGAAATAATCCAATTACAAAAGACAGATACTGTATGATTACATTTATATGAGGTACTTAGAGCAATCAAAATCATAGAGACAAAAAGTAGGTGGTTGCCAGGGACAGGACAGATGGGAGAATAGGGAGCCATTGCTTAATGAGTATAGGATTTAAGTTTTGCAAGGTTAAAAAAAGTTCTGGAGATGGATAGTGGTGATGGTTGCACAATATAAATTACTTAATGCTACTGAACTGCACACTTAAGAATGATTAAGATGCAATATTTTATATTTTACAACAAAAAAATTTCAGAAACAAGTTGTCTTAGATATGCTTTCAAAGTATCTAATGGTTCCTATTTCATCTATGTTACTTAAATTTGAGAAAGTAAGCCTTTGTCTACATTGTAGAAAATGAAATAGGGATTTGGTGAACATACAGTTAAGACAGATAGTCAAAGAAATCAACTTTGCGATCTTGGTAACATCCAATTAACCAGATAGTTACTGTCTTGACTTCACTATGTCTGGCTTTCTTAACCTGGGGAACATGTACTTAAGTGGAAAAAGAAATTACATCTTTTTTTCACTAACTGATAATGAAATTTAGTATTCCTTTCCATTATGGATATAGGCAACCAACCACAGTAGTATTAACAATTGTGTCGTCGCCAAAGGAAATGGCAGATCTTTTTATGTTACAATTGTTGCAGATATCTCAAATTACTGTCAATTCTCATTTCTATTTTAAAATAATTATAAATTCACTTGTTTTTTTTGGTTTTCAATTTTAAGAAGTTTTTAAGGTAATCTGGTTTAAAAAAATTAAAGCATTACTTAATAATGAAATTTTAATTTATTATAATGACCCAGTAAAGTGTAGTTTCTCTAATTTTCTCTTCATTTTAGTGATTGATTGTACATGTACTTCAGCAGTGTAAGTAGCCATCTTTATTGGGAGTGATTAAGATTAACCACCTAAAATTTGCAAAGCGTTTCTGTTCTCCTTGCACACTAAAGCTTTTAGTAACTTTTCTAAAATTTAGAAGATAACTATAAAAGCAGAAAAAAAAATGTAGCTTTTTAAAAGGATAATTTTTTAAAATCCAAATATATTTATAAATATTTCAAGCAGCCTAATACTCAATTGTTTCTTTCCAAATGTTTACTTTAGTGGAAATAAGTGACCCGTTTTTTAAATTACATTTTTATTAATCCATTCTCACATCACAATATTTTTAATACCTTTTTACATAGTTACTAGATAAGATCTTTATAATTCTTTACCAAAAATTGAGTGATACATCAATGATACAGCAATGACTATCAGTTATTCACACATTTTTTTTAGATCTTCAAGGAAAGTATTTTTCAAAACTGTGAGAACATATGACTTACATTACAGTAACTAGCAATAATTCAGTAATAATCCAAAACATGAATTTTCCTTTTTAAAAAGTACTTACTATATTTTTATACCTTTTATCTTCCTGTAATGTATGTGTGTGTCGTGATTTTTACAATTAAAAAGAATACAGAATGGGGCATCATTTGTGTATTTGTTAAAGGTTTACTATTTTCATCAGGGTCTTCTCTTTTGAGCTAGAGTATCACTCCGTCACCCAGGCTGAAGTGCAATGGCTCAATCTCTGCTCACTGCAACCTCCACCTCCCAGGCTCAAGTGATTCTCATGCCCCCAGCCTCCCGTGTAGCTGGGATTACAGGCATGCGCCATCACGCCTGGCTAATTTTTGTATTTTTAGTAGAGATGGGGTTTCACCATGTTGGCCAGACTGGTCTTGAACTCCTGACCTCAAGTGATCTGCCCACCTCAGCCTCTCAAAGTGCTAGGATTACAGGTGTGAGCCACCATGCCTGGCCAGGGTCTTCTTTTAAGGCATCAAAGCCTAAATAACTTAAAAGATGTTAATGAATACATGACATTAATGAATACTCTATTAGAGCACTAGGGACTGAATCCTGGTATCCGCCATTAAATTCACATATTAAAGATCTAATCTCCAGCGTGATGGCATTTGAAGCTGGAACCTTCATAAATGGGATTAGTATCTTTACAATAAGAAACAAGGGAGAGATGGTTTTTCCCTCTACCATGTGAGCATATAGCAAAAAGGCATCCATCTGCAAACCATGAAGAGGAATCAGCTAGCACCTTGGAACCTCATCAGGAACTTAATTGTCTAGCACCTTTATCTTGGACTTCCTTGCCTCGAGAACTGTGAGAGATATATTCGTTGTCTAAGCTACCCAGTTTATGGTATTTTGTTATAGCAGCCAAGCTAAGACAGCAATTAGTACCAAGAAGTACAGTGCTGCTATAACCAATACATAAAGATGTGGAAGCAGCACTGACATTAGGTAACAGAAGCTGGAAGAGTTTTGAGGTACTAGAGTACCTGGAAGAGTACTGGAAGAGTTTTGAGGGACTAGTTTTTTTGCTAGAAAAGGTCAATATTGCCATGAAGGGACTGATAGAGGTGATTTTGGTGAGGGCTCAAAGACAAGAAGGTGGGAGAGAAAGCCTCCATCTTCATAGAGAACATGTAAATCACCATGAATAAAATGTTGGTAGACATATGGACAATAAAGGCCATTCTGATGAAGTCTCAAATGAAAATGAGGAACCTGTTATGGGAAACTGGAAGAAAGGTGATCTTTGTTATAATATGCCAAAGAACTTGGATGATTGTGTTCATGTTCTAGTGTTCTGTGGAAAGTAAAATTGTGAGCCATGAAATTAGATATTAAACTGAAGAGATCTCCAACCAGTGTTGAACCAGTGCCTCGGTTTATCTTGACTGCTTAAAGTAAAATGTGACCAAAAATGAAGACAGACTTGTTAACCAAAACGGAACCAGAACTTAAAGATTTGGGAAATTATCAGTTTGTCTGCATTACAAAAAGGTAAGAAAACATGTTTGGTAGAGAACACTAAGGGTGTAGCTGACCAGTCATCCAATTAGATTTGTGTGGGTGCGAACCACAGACCTAATCAGCCACCCTCGCAGGAACACTGCCAGTTTGTCTTGAAAGGAATGGAGATGGGACAGAATGAAGGAAGACTGTTGGACTTCTTGGATTTGGGACCATAGAGCTATTCAGCTGTAAATGTACACTATTCTTTAAGAAAAGGAGAGACTGACCTCAAACGGTGATTCAGAGGACATCAGGGGTACCTTCTCAGTTTCAAAAGGGGCAGTCATTGCCTTGGTTTCAACAGGCCTGACAGCTTCTGCCTGGTGATATAGGGGTCATCCTCCTCCAACATAGTCCTGGGGGCAATACCTCTGCCTCACTGGGTCTTGAAGCCAGAGTATCAGGCCAAAGAGGATTATTCCTAAGCCTGAGATCTCATGGTGCTTGCCTGCTAGGTTTTGGACTTGTTGGGGACCCATTACACCTTCCTTTTTTCCTGTTTCTTGCTTTGTGTGTCCCATCATTGTATTTTGGAAGCACATAACTTGTTTCATTTCACAGGTTCACAGCTGGAAAGGAATTTTGCCGCAGGATGAACTGTACCTTGAATCTCACTCACATCTGATTTAGATGAGACTTTGGACTTTAGCATTGAGGCAGGAATGAGTTAAGACTTTTAAGGCTGTTGAGATGGAATTTATGTATTTTGCATGTGAGGAGGACATGAATTTTGTAGGGCCAGGTACAGAATGCTATGGACTGAATCTTTGTGTTCCCCCAAAATTCATGTGTTAAGCCCTAACCTCCAATATGATGGTATTTGGAGGTGGAGCCATTGGGAGGTAATTAGGTCATGAGGGTAGAGCTCTCATGAATAGGATTAGTGCCATTATAAGAGACACAAGAGAGTTGATCTCTCTGTCTCATGTGAGGACGCAGAAGGACATCTATCTGCAAACTGGGAAGAGGGCCCTCACCAGGAACTGCATTAGCTAGTGCCTTGATCCTGAGTGGAATTCCCGGCCTCCAGAACTGTCAGAAGCGTTGCTGTTGTTTAAGCCATTTGGTTTATGGTGTTCTACTTATAGCAACTTGAGCTAAGATACAGGGCTTGGAAAGATACTTAATTTTCTAAACATATCTAATGTTTAGGGTGAGTATTGAATTATTAGCTCTGAAGACAGAAATCTGTCTATAAAACATGTTATTCTAGGCAACTGTGGAATATCTTTTCCATCCCTCCCCTCCTACAGATCTATTTGGGAACTCGGAAGTGAAAAAGAATACATGTAATTTAGGTTATCAAGTTTGGTTTCTTAATTTAATTGAATCTATTGCAGTTAATCTCCTATTTCTCATTAAACTTACAGGAAAATAATCAGACTACATACAATGTAAGTGTAACTTGTATAAAATGCAAATGAAGCAGGAATTTTGGTGAAGCAGGGTATGGAGAATATATATGTCTTAAAAATACAATGTGTGAAAAACATAGCCTGTTATGTCTACAGTTTTGGGGGTATGTGCAATCTTTTCATGTAATGGATTTTTATCAAACATAAGGTATTTTTCCACCAGAATACTTCCTGTGTTGTATTTACTGCGGTTGAATCCACAGCCTGTCTTTTCTCATGTCACACTGGAATGCTGTACTTCACATTTTCTTTTTTTTAATGGGAAAGATTCCGAGGATGTCTCTTCTTTCTGAGTATAGATGACTGTAGGTAAAATACATGCCTAATATGGAGAAAGAAGTTGCAAAAGTAAGTAACGTTAACTATCTCTCTGGAAGGAACAATGAGTTTAAAATACAGTCAGAGTGCTGCCCGAATCCAGGGAGAAGACACTGGCAAGGGAGATGTGAGAAGGAATGCTTAAAGAAGTGTCCAGATTTTATGCAGAAAGAGAGGTAAATAAAACTCTTCTATCCTACTTTTTTTAATGCAAGGAATTGTCTTCCTTTCTTTAGCATAGCTCTCTCCACCTCCCTCTAAAGTTTCACATTTTTGTCTTTTCTCTCTATATGTTGTTCTTATGTTTGATATCTGTTACCTTCTAGAGATAATCATTATTTTGGGGATTTGTGAAGGTTAGAGCTGGGAAAACAAAAATTTAATAGTGAAAGTTTTTTCCCCAATTTCCTGGAAAATGACTAGGTTTAATGATCAAATTTATTCAAGGGTAAGTTTTTGTTCCATACATTTTTCTTGAGTCTCTAACACCGACTTCCATTTGCCTGATAGGAAGTGCTAGCTTGAAAAGCGAAACAAACAAGAAACAAAACGGATATAAATGGAAAAATCAGAAATAGCCAGTTCTTCTTAGTTTGACATCTAGGTTTTATTTGTAGATACCTGTGCACATGGTCAAAACTTCTATATCTCATACATAATGCAGCTATGTTTTCTGATAGTAAAATTGTTCTTATTTGTACAGTGAAAGGGAAATATATGATCCCATGATGCCCGGCAAAAAGCATTATAACCTCCAGGGGCTTCACTAACAAGATCTAGTTCATCATGTCAGGCTTCCTCTTTGGTCTCTCCCATGTTTACCAACCTGTATATTAAGGTAGATGGCAAGCACTAACCAAAAAGCACAGGAAAAATGCAAAAACAAGACCAAAAAAGTCACTTACCTATAAAGAGCATCATGAGATATATTTTCAGCACATATGGGAAATAGATGGATAAGTCAAAGGGCAGCTTGGTGGAATAAGTGCCAAATGATTCAAAATAAGGCAGCGATTGATAGATGGCAAATGCTGTTAAAAAAGAAAAGCATCATGAAGGTTTTCCTCAAGTTGTTACAGGGATGTGTATATATGTCTTCATAGTTGTAGGATATTTTGAATTTGATGACAGTTTTGTAATAGTTGCTGAATCTTTTTGCTAAACCTAGTTTAATATAGAAATCTGCGAAATGATTCAGTTGGCAAGGTGCTTACAGCAGTATGACTTATTGAATGTTTGTCCATGGTATACTTTATCGTGCCTACAGAGGAAGAATTTACAAGGTTTTTTAAAATGTTATCTCAAAATACATTTGTCCACCTAGCCACAAATAGGGGTGATAGACAGATGAACTTGGAAAATGGTGCATATATTTTCCTCTTAAGAGTTGCACAACATGTATTAACATAGTAGAGATTGTGAGAAATTCTGCAATTAAAAAAAAAAAAAATACCAGTTAACCTTTCCTCAATCTAACTGGCCTTAGAATATCTGCTTCTTCCTCCTTAACCACCAGTTGTACTTAATAAGTATTTTGAAGAACTCTATGAGAAATGCTGGCCTAAATTATTTTGAGGGAGGGAGCTGGTATCAGGTAAAAAAAGATGAAAGTTTGGTAACATTGTATCCCATATATAGATATTTTTGGTAACATTTCATGGAATGAAATGGTAATATGCTAACATTATGTAAGATGTTATCATTAGGGTAAGCTGGGTGAAGGGTACATGGGAATGGTGTACTATTGTTGCAATTCTTATGGGTCAAAATTATCCCTACATAAAAAGTGTTTTAAAAGAGAAAGTGAAGAAAAGGCAGGAGTTCACAACTGTTAGAGCCGAGTGGAGGTATGAGTAGCATCATTACAGGATCTGCCACTGACACCAAACATGCAGTTTAAGGTTAACACAGGCTGCACCTATGTCTCTAGCATTTTATCAGTATAATTAGTTGATCTGGTTATTTACATAAGCTTTGTTTTTATCTTATATTTGTCAGATGGGAAATTATAGTCATTAAAAATTAGTAAAGTTATCAAAAGTTTAATAGGTTTACTTAACTGTGTAGTTTTATACTTTGGGACATCTAACATACAGAAACATATAAAGATAAAATTTAAATTACCTGTATTCCACCACCCAGAGTTAATCATTATTGACATTTTTGTCATATATATCTCTAGACTATTTTCTGCATATACCTTATTTTGTAATTGCAAGAATAAGTTTATGAAGTGAATAAAAGAATAAGGGTTGTATGGCAACCATATAAGAACATGGCTTTCCTAGAAAGGAAAAGGATTCGAATTATGGAATAACAAGAATGCAAAAGTTTCCTATACATTTATCCATCCCTTATTCCTAGGAAGGGATTAGTTATATTTCTACCTTATTATTTTATATATTCTTTTAAATGTGATTAACTTTTAATTGGCAAATCATAATTGTATACATATATGAAGCACAATGTGATGTTTTGATATATGTGTACAATATGGAATGATTAAATCAAGCTAATTAACACATCCATCACCTCACTCATTTCTTTGTGGTGAGATTTGAAATTTACTCTTAGCTATTTTGAAATATACATTATTAAGTAGAGTCACCCTGCTGTGCATTAGATCTCAAAAATGTATTCCTTCTAACAAACTTTGTACCCTTTGATCAACAACTCCCCATTTCCTTTCTATATTCTCTACAGTACTATGATGTAATAAAGACATGTACATGATATTTCAATGAGAGGTGATTTGATTCTTAAAGAATGGACAATCAGGTTTTATTTGTGGATTTCAAGACAATTATTCTCTAGATCCATTTGGCATAGTCTATTCCAAAATTAATAATTCTTCCTTTTGAATCAAAACAAACTTAGAAATTCTAACATGATTTACAATAACTTAAGCTCTTTTTATCTGCTCATCAGTAGATAGAAAATACATGTTTTTGTTTTATAACTGGCTTTTATATACTTTGTCAATGTCATCATTTTATGTTAAATCTATGTCCTTATGTTTTTCCCTTAGTTACCTTAACATGCTTTCTTATTTTATGCCTTCAATTTTCAAAACTTTAATCATGTCTTACAGAATGCTCCTTACCAGTCTACCAAATCCATTGCAGAAGAAACCATATGTCCTCCAAATATCCTCAAACTCTGCAAACTGATGTTCTGAATGATTTGATCTTAAGTTTTAGGTTTATATTTAGGCTATATAATTAGCCTACTCATATTATATTCAATAATTCATTCTGTGTTTATTGAGCATATATACTGGTGCATAAGAGGAAGGAAGGAAGCAAAGAAGACACAGACATCCTTTTACCCCCACGGAGCTTAGAGTCTAGTCAAGGAAATGGACATTAATCAAAGAATCATACAAATATGTAATTATGCTGAGATAAGCCCTATAAGACAGCAGCCCCCAACCTTTTTGGCACCAGGTACTGGTTTTGTAGAAGACAATTTTTCCACAGACTGGAGGAAGAAGGATGATTTCAGGATGGTTCAAGCACACGACATTTATTGTGTACTTTATTTGTATTATTATTACATTGTAATAAATAACAAAATAATTATACAACTCGCCATAATGTAGAATCAGTGGGAGCCCTGAGCTTATTTTCCTGCAACTAGATGGTCTCATCTGGGGGTGATGGGAGACAGTGAAAGATCATCAGGCATTAGATTCTCATAAGGAGCATGCAACCCAGATCCCCATGCACAGTTCACAATAGGGTTTGTGCTCCGATAAGAATCTGATGCCTCCACTGATCTGACAGGAGGTAGAGCTCAAGCGATAATGTGGGTGATGGTGAGTGGCCATAAATACAGATGAAGCTTCACCTGCTAGCCCACTGCTCACCTCCTGCTATGCGGCCTGGTTCTTAATGGGCCACAGACCGGGATCATAGCCCAGGTTGGGGGCCCCTGCTATAAAAAGATTCATGATGCTGTACCCAGGGGAACTCAGTTGAGGAAGTCAGGGAATGCCTCCCTCAGAAAATGATGATTAATCTCAAGATAGAGTTAACTAGTTGCTGAGAGAGGGTAGGATACATGGTAAATGGTAAGTGGGAAAGAGTTTCACCAGAGGGAACTGAATTTCTGTGCATTAAAAGTTAAAAATCATAGACTCTCTAAATGTTAACCTCTTTTTGGTGAGTAAGCAGACTCTGAGAGGTCAAATGAGTTACCCAAAACTCATACAGTGAGTTAATGAAGGGAAGGACTCAGATGCCGTTGCTTTCTGTCCAGTATTTTGTCTACTGTGCAGAGCTGCTTCCCTCTTCAACTTTGCCTCTTTGCATCAAGGGAAATATGCCAGGAAAGATACATTGAGTGAGCTAAGCATTCGCAAAAATAGTAATTTAATCATCAAAAACTTTAGTGAACCATTATAACTAGATGGTTTTTGTCAGTAAGCAATACAGCAAGTCACTCTTTTCTTACCTTCAGCGAGAACACACAAAGGATAAATTGGCATCCATAGGGTTTGACTGAGCCATGTCAAGACAGCATAGGATATTCCTATGACTGATAACATGCTATAAGTGTACCTGAAAAGAGATGAAAAGCTCATAAACATCATTTTCTGCTAATACCTAGGAAATAGGAGAAATGACTGTACTGTGTAATTAAATACAGAGATACAACTGGAAAGTGTGCAAATTATGTATTTTATTTCCTATAATTTAAGCAAAAGATTTTTTTTAAATGGGGGAAAGGGACCATGTCAATCTGGTTTGTCTCATGGGGTAGATCATGAATAATTATAAAGCTAAACAGAGCAAGTAAGTCTTACTCCCTCCTCAGAAAAATACAGTAATAAATTTCCTTGATTAGTGACTTCAATTTCATTAAAAACCAAGCCCATTTTTTGCACCAAGCAGCTAGGTTTCTTAATGACAGACATACTTGTAAATAGCTCAGGAATTCATTTAAAAATAAAATGTGACTTCCAAATCTTTATTTGGCAATTCTGCTTCTGCAGGTGTACTATCTATGTGATCAGTTAAAGAACTGGCCTTGGGAGCTGATTCGGGTATAGTAGGGAGCTTTAAGCCTACCACTGTGATGTAATAGATTAAGTAGTCTACATTGTGTTTTATTTCTTTGAATAGGACACTGGTTATTAGGCTTGAGCATATATCAGAATCACCTAGATGGCATGTTAAAACACAAATTGCTGGACCCTACTCCAAAGTTTCTGATCCAATGGAACTGTGGTACACCCCAGACTTTGTATTAACAAGTTCCAGGTGATGCTGATGCCACTGGTCTAGGGACCACACTTTGAGAACTACTGATATAGACAGACAATAAATACATGTGACAAAACCACCCAAACAACCTTGAAAACATGAATGGGGAAGAGTAAATCTCTCTCATTGCAGGACCTGAATTCCGCCCCTCAGAGACAATAGCCAATGTCAGTTTCTTAGGTATTCTTTCAGAAATGTTTTTGCATTTACATATCTATGTGCATATTTACTATATAAAATATATACCAGCAGTGGAGGACCTCACTGAACATAGCATATAATCAAGTTTTTGATCTTTACCAATCAAAGTGAAAAATGGTATCTCATCTTTTTCCCCTCATATTAGAAGAGTAGGTAAGCATCTTTTCATGTTTAAAAGTCACTTTTGGCCAGCCGTTGTAGCTCACTCCTGTAATCCCAGCACTTTGGCAGGTGAAGCCAGGCAGATGACCTGAGGTCCAGGGTTCAAGACCAGCCTGGCCAACATGGCGAATCCCCATCTATACTAAAGATATAAAAATTAGCTGGGCATGGTGGCAGGTGCCTGTAATCCCAGCTACTCAGGAGGCTGAGGCAGGAGCATCACTTGAATCCAGGAGGCGGAGGTTGTGGTGAGCTGAGATCGCGCCACTGGACTCCAGCCTGGGTGAGAGAGCAAGACTCTATCTCAAAAAAAAAAAAAAAAAAAAGCCACTTATGATGAGGTCCAATTTATCTTTTTTTCTTTTGTTGTGCTTCTGGTATCATATCTTATAATCCACCGCCAAATCTAGTAATCAAGATTTACTCCTATATTTTTTTCAAAGAGTTTCATAGTTTTTCCACTTATATGTGAGTGGTGACTTCATTTTTTTGTGTGTGTATATCCAGTTGTCCCAGCACCATTTGTTAAAAAAGACTATTCTTTCCCCATCAAATGGTCTTGGCATTGTCAAAAATTAATTGACCAAAAATGTGTGAGAGTTTATCTTTAGACTATCGATTTTATTCCCTGATTTATCCTTACACAATACCACATTTAATTATTGCTTTGTAGTAAGTTTTGAAATGGGAAAGAGTGAGTCCTTCAACCATATTCTTCTAAGATTGTTTTGGCTATTCTGAGTTCCTTGAATTTAAATATGAGTTTTAGGATCATCTTCTCAATTTCTGCAATGAAGTTATCTAGGTTCTAATAGGGATTACACTGAATCTGCAGATCAGTTTGGGGAATACTGCCATCTGAACAATATTAAGTTTTCAAGTCTTGTGGGATGTCCTTTCATTTATTTAGATATTTAATTTTTTCAACAATGCTTTCTCAACAATGTATAAATTCTGTGCATCTTTTGTTAAGTTTATTCCTCAGTACTTTATTCTTTTTGATGCTGCTCTAACCAGAATTGTATTCTTGATTTGATTTTGTGGTAGTTAATTGCAAATGTATAAAAAATAATTCATTTTTACATATTGATAATTTTTTATCAAGATATCATCTGCCAATAGAGATAGTTTTACTTGTTGCTTTCCAGCCTACATGCCTTTTATACCATTTTGTTTGTTTTCTGTTCTGTCTTATTGCCATGGATAGAACTTCCAGCACAATGATGAATATAAGTGGCAAGTGTGGATGCCCTTGTCCTGTTCCTGCGTGTTAGGAGGAAGGCATCAGTCTTTCATCATTAACTATCATATTAGTATGAATTTTTCATAGATACTTTTTGCAGGCTGAGGAAATTTCTTGCTCATTTCTTTAGGAAAAATAATTATAGGGTAGAGTGGGAAGATAAGTTTACCCCCATTTTACAGAGGAAAATAAAAGTTTCTAAAAGTTAGGTGCCTTGGAATTTCACTCCTAGGTATAAGGGAAATGAAAACATGTGCACACAAAAGCTTGTATATGGATGTTCATGGCAGTATTCCTCATGGCCAAACAGTAGAAAACACCCAAATGTCCATCAACTGATAACTGGATACACAGAAAGTGGTAAATCAATGCAATAGAATATTACTCAGCCCAAAAAGCAGTGAAGTACTGACACATGCCACAACACAAAGGAACCTTGAAAACATTACGCTAGGTAAAAGAAGCCTGTTACAAAAGGCCACAGATTGGATGATTCCATTTATATGAAATTTCCAGGATAGGCAATCCATAGAGACAGCATATGCGTGGTTTCCAGGGGCTGGGGGAAGAAGGGAGTGGGTACTCCTCATACTGCTACTCCCTCCTCATACTGCTACTGGGTATTAGGTTTCTTTTAGAGACGATAAAAATGTTCTAGGATAGTAGTGATTGCACATCTCTTTGGATATACTAAAACTCACAAATTTTGTATTTTAAAAGGGTGAACTTTATGGTATATAAACTATATCTCAATAAAGTTGTTATTAAAATAAGAAAGGTTAAGTGATTTGCCTAACATCACTTAGCAAGTAGGTAGTGGAGGTGGGTTTCATCCAGAGAGATCTTCTACCTTCATATTCAAAAGTCTTCCTATGACAGCATGCTACTTCTTTCAGTGCAAATGTTTTGTTCTCCAGTGTATTTATTGAGCTTCTCTGAGACTGAAAGAGTAAGCATACCCAAGACTAACATACTAGAAAGCTTCAATCCCAAATGATGTTCCATTGTCTCATGAATAGAAGTTACGGGCTACAAAAGTCCATGAAGTTTGCCCCAAGTCCACTAAACTATCAATTCAAAAATGAGAAATTACTAATTTATATACATAATTAAATTCATTTTACTTCAACAGAAGATTTCATTCTGATTCACTCTAGGACTCACCTTATTATTTAAACATATTTTAATCCAGTTAAGTTATTGAAAATATAATAAAATTACATACCCTTGGCTAAAAAACAAACTAGGGCTCTTGTGTCACCTCTCCAAATCCAGATCTCTCAAGTGGGAGGGACAATTCTCATTTGTGAAAGCTGACCTAGCAGTTAGGACACCTCCCCAGAGTGAGGTGTAAGCACTCACTGAGCAAAGGGGACTGTTTTACACCACCACTTGTAGAGGTAAGACTAGGCACATCTCACTGCAAAGTTTTAGAATTAGCAGTAAAAGGACTTAAGTTAGTCATTTAAACCCACTGGAATTGTAAATGAATGTGGGAGTGCATTTTCTTCCTGAAAGGCCCTATATTTAAAAGATTTTTGAATGCACAGAAACTAACTGTAAATTCTGGTGATATAATAAAAGACCTGCTTTGCTTATTAAAGCAACTGTACTAAAGCAACTGTGAGGAATGCCTTCGTTAGGAAACAGCTGAGGGTTATTCCAAGTTGGTTTTATGCCAAGCCTTCTGCAGAAACCTGAATGTGCTGATTTACTGTTGTAATACCATGGTAGGTTTTCATTATCTTTGATATGCCCATTATGGAGAACACTAAAAATACATTTCCATATCAAGATAAAATAATTTGAAAAGGGGATATGTTTTCCTGTAGTACCGAGTAACCAAATGTAAGCAGCTAGTACTGGTTTCACTGCAGAAAGCAATTTAGCCTTGTTTTAAGACATTATTTTACCTTCTTACCTAACCATATCCAATAGATTCCAAAAGATGAATAAAACACACACCACATATTTCCCTTGGACTTCCTCTTGACTGGTGATCACCACAAAAAGGATGATTATTCTCTCTGTGAGCTAACAAAGAAACAGCAAAGTCAGAAATTAGGATCATCTGTTAGGCTATGTAGGTAATTTTCTAATTTTAAAAACCAGATCTCCTTTCAAAAGTATACTTTAGCTGGAAATATGTATACTAAATTGTTAATAATGCCTCCCTCAGAGAGAGTAGGGTTATGGCTGAATTTCAGTTCCTCATTTGTCTGTATTTTACAAATAATATATAATGAATGAAAAAATGACATATATTTTATGTGAATCAGGATATTTCCTTTCTTCTTGCCACATGCATGTGTTTCTATTCACTTTGACAAGGCTTTATTGAGTGTCCACTGTGTGTCAGATGCCAAAATGAAAACACAGTCTTTGCTCCAGAGAGGGTAGCAGTGGTGGGAGAACTGAACAATAGCACAGTGTGTGCTAGATATGGGAGCACAGGTGAGCAAGATACTTTCTGCCTAGAGAAACAATGCAAAGAGATTAGTGTGCTAGATATGGGAGGCACAGGTGAGCAAGATACTTTCTGCTTAGAGAAACAATGCAAAGAGATTAATGAAGACAGGCTACATTTCTTTTCATCCAAGTTGGATCTTGAAAAATGAGTAAGAGTTTGTCAGGTAGACTGGATATGAGAGAGGGCATCCTAGGCAAAGGCAGTAGCCTGAGCAAAGAGGCATAGGTGTGAAAATGTAGGGTGCCCAGGGGAGTAATGTGAACCACTGGGGGGCTAGAGGGGAGGGTGCATACAAGGGAATAAAAGGAGATGAAATTGAAAACATGTTTGGAGCTGGGTTATGAAGGGTTTTGAATGACAGGCTGAGAAATTTCAATTCCATCCAATAGAGAAACTATTGTAGCTTTTTTTTTTTTTTTTTTTTTTTTTTCCTCCAGTAGGGGAGTAATATAATCCTAACCCTTATAAGCTAGTGGAAAATGAAAAGAATTCAATATATTCCAAGTCAGCATTTACAGATCATTGAGACTTCACACATTTTTGGCTCTGCCCCAATTACTAGCCTCAAAAAATAAAAAAATACATTCCTTTTTCCCAACCTAAATATAAAGTGCCTTCTTACATTATATTAATATATCCTGTACATTTTGTATTTTGTGTGTTTTTAATAGAATGTTTTACTTGCTCTTAATGGTCAAAGGAAAATATACTTAAGATTGAAGAGTCAAATTCGCAGTAAAGAGGGGAATGATTTATATTTTTCTTTATTTTTAAAGTGGATCAAGGAGAAAAGACGGGGATAACCTGTGACTTAGCATTTATAGGCTGCTAGTCCTGGAAAATCACCTAGTGCATAGAAATCCAAGATTTGCCAACAGCGGGCCACATGATCAGAAATCCACGTGTATAAGCTATATCAGCATGTTTATGACATGACTACAGTGGTGAGTCAAGAGGGTCTATGCTTGGCTAAGGGAAATTAGATATGATTCAAACCTTAGTCAAACTATGGAAGCCATCTACATAGCTGTTTTTTCTTTTTTCATCCTTTCTTTATAATATAATACTCTATTGATTTCGTTTCTATAATAAATTCTACTGAACTGCAATTATAATTACTGAACAATCCAACCTTGATGTCATGACACCTCTCAGCCTTCAGATACACAATCATAGCAGCAAACAAGTTCTTAGGCTCTACCTCTCTTATATTTGATCAGTGCTTGGTAATTAGGAAAACCTAGTTTTTGCTAGAAATCTCAGGAGATACACATACATGAATGGATACATGAATAAAATACAGATTTCTAATTACATGGCTGACTACTGAAAAATCTTAGACACCTCTCAATAAGATGATCTCTAGGGTCTCCTCTAAATAAAACATTCTGATACTAGCCCAGCCCCACCTTTTTAGAAATAAGGAATATGGGAACAGACCTGGAAACATATATATATATATATCCGAAGTCTCCTGGTTTCCAGAGTTGTAAGCTATCCGTGATGTCAGGTCACCCCTTAATTGAAGAGGACAGAGGGGAAAATCTCCTAAAAGGGAGAGACTGGAGCTGCATGATGAAACTCACCCTGTTGAAAATCATCACTTCACTGGGGCAAGGTAGCAATAAAATCCCAGCTGCACAGAAAGCAGCAACAGGATGGCCCCCCCAAACCAAACCACAACACACATACACACACAAGTGAAGACTCCTTCTATATTCGGTGTCAATGTAATTAGTTAACAAATCATCTGATGGTTATTTAACTCTAACTTGACCATTCAATGGCAATACAATGTGGAAATTTAGGCAGAGATGTTCTTAAATTGAAATAAAGCTTTTATTGTTTAGTTTGTGCCAGGTTCCAAATATACACCATCTCACTTTATCTCCATAATGACCCTAAGAAGTAGGTGCTATTATTGTTATATGCGTTTACAAAAGACATGCATTTTACCAACTGAAAGTGACTTACTTACAAGTCTAGAATCAACATCTAGACAATACGACTTCAAATTCCTGAAATACTAAGACTCTTTCACCATTGTTACTTGATATGAGTTACTCCATCACCTAGTATCCAGGTTATCGCCTATTCTTTAAAAAAACTTCCCCTTAAAAATTAAGCCTTAAAACAAGAGCCTCCTTGATTTTCTTAACACCAAAACAACTTTGAAGAAAAGGCTTTTAAAATTTATCAGTCTTCTGTAATATGACCATTTGGCCAGTTATTTAGAGCTTGACACTTGGAAGAATTTAGCCCTTTGTAATTTTTAACAAATCCTATGAAAATATGACTAATTACTAGAGAATGGTCTTGTTTAGTACAACTCAAATAGGTGGAGTAAAAGGTATAGTAAATATCCTACAACTTGGGTTAAATTAAACATGGTGATAATGTCATCTACCCAAAAGTGTGATAACTATATAATAAAAATGCTGGGCATTTTAAAGTTCTATTTGGGAATCCTCAACTCCAGGTTGAGCAATAATTGAAACTAAGTTGTTACTTTACAAATGGCAGGTAGCACTTCATTTATAAGCTATGGGAGGGTAAAATGATACTTCAACTACAGGGAGAATTTCGAGAATCTTAAAATTAGTTTTAGTCTCAAAGACTACTATTTTACTCAAATGAAAATCTAAACTCTCAATCCTCTGAACTTTTCTGAGAACTTCAGAAATCTATCTTTATATATTCAAAAACTACCAATTACATTCTTCTGTAAGACAAACGCATTTAAATCATTGTATTCATTTCTTTATTTATTCATCATTCAATAGATAATTATTGAGTGCACTGTTCTGGGTCCAAGGGGATACAGGGATACAGCTGTGAACAAGACCAAGCCCCTGCCTTCATGGTATTTATATTATACTTGGTGAAACACTAAACAAATGTAGCATAATAGTTGAGAGCTCAAGAGCCAAATAGCTTAAATGTCTGCTATAATATTCAAAACCTATGTGACCTTGCATAATTTACTTCTGTGTTAAGTAATTATAGTAGAGATAATAATTACCATCTGTTGTTACATAGTAATTATTATATACAGGAAAAGGTTGTTGTAAAGATTAAATAAGTTAATACATGTAAAGAACTAAGAAAAGTGTTTGACACACATAAAAGCCCAAATAAATGTAAGCTATGATTAGGAAAATGAATATTTAAATATACTTTAATGTAGTGATTTACAGTGTATTTACAGGAAAACATTTTTCTATGTAGATAATGACTGTGAATTTAAAAAATTCAATCTCAGCATCTGTAAAATTATGCTAGGAATATAGCTTTGTACTTATCACACTGAAGAACTACATGGATCAAATGTGAAAAACAGAGGAAAAATCTAAAATCTTACCTACAGAGTGAATTGGACATGTAATTCACTCTCAGGAGGCTTCCAAATTTGGAGAATGTTACAACTCAACACTATCTTTGGTAGTTTCTTCTCTAACAATATAAGCCTATTCCAAGCTCAAAACTGGTGAGAAAAATCTATGTGATTTTAAAGGAAAGTCAGATTATTTAGTCTAGCAACACAAATAAGCACCTGCTTCACAGCTAAAAAGAAATTAGGGTAAAATCTGGCTTTTTGCCTAAAAGGGTTAAAGATACTTTCCTTTGGGAATTCCTTCATATTTGTTCTCTTAAGAGTATGTGACTGTGAAATCTTTAGAGGGATTTTTGACAAACAGATCCCTGCTTGCCCTGATCAGAAATAGAAGTGTTACTGGCAAATACAGAAACAGTTTATGTGATTTGGGCTCATAAATGGAATCTCTGTAAGCACAATAATTTAGGAGTATTCGTTTTTAGTGTTTTGGTTAAGAAATTTTAAAAATTGAGTAAAAATGTGTAAAATTAATACTGCAGGAGTGTTTATTATGACACAGAGGGAAGGATGTGTAATTGAATCATTTTAATTCAATTATAAATGAAATATTTGCATGTAAAGCATTTCTCAAAAAGTGATGGAGTAATCCATTAAGGGTTTCCTATAGGGGATATCAGTCTAATGTTATGACACAAAGGTTAGTGTTGGCTATTTTCCCCTCTTCTTGAGTTGAAACATCCTAAAGCAGTATAAACAAAAATCTCCTTCTCAGGCTTCTGTACAAGCAAACTGAACAAAGCCCCTCAAAATCAACATTTCAGGGTTGATAGTGATTCTGTACTATAAAAGTCAAGTTGTTTTGATTAAGTTTACTGAAATCAACTACTTTTCCAATTCAATATTTTTTACTAAGCTAATAAAGTATGCAAGCTAATTTGGGAGGAGGGGATTGGAGAAGGGAGATACCTAGTTTTCATTTATATTATAATTTCCTTTATGCTTCATTTTAAAAAGTAAGTATCAAAGTTTACTATATTTTCTTATATGATTTTTATTGTCGTGTAATTATTTCAAAAATTGGAAGTCTATAAATAGCTACGCTATGGTTTTGCCCTTTTTCCCTAAGTGTATAAAAAAATAAAATATATGTCAGTTAAATGATTATTGTCTTTTGGTCAATCGTTTTTTTCCTTTCCTTTCGTATGTAATTTTAGAAATTCATAACGG